GATAACCTCCAAAATTCTGTTGAAATATCAGCAATTTCAAACTCATCCAATGTGTATTTTTATCCAAAAATCAATGTAAAAGTCAAACCATTATCCTTGTCAAAACATAGGCTTGCGGCAAGTCTCGCAAGCGAATATGCCCACCAGCAGCTTGATAAAGAGCTAAATGTGAACTGTAAAACAAACTCTATATCGTAGCCTGTAGAGTGAGCACGAGCCAAAAAAGCGATATCTCTCAAGAAAATCATCGGATCATCACCAAATTCAATAGTGCACATCTTCATAATGATATACAAATACACACATACAAAAGTTCAAAAGATTCCATGGAGAATTGTAGGCTGTAGAGAGAGCACGAGCCAAAAAAGTGAGAAAAAAAACCGAACGCGATATCAGAGTTTTATGCGATATCTCTCAAGAAAATCATCACCAAATTCAATAGTGCACATCTTCATAATGATATTGACACACATACAAAAGATCAAAAGAATTGTAGTCTGTAGAGTGAGCACGAGGTACGAGAACGGACGGACCGACAGGGGCAACTACAATATACGCCCATACTTATGTGTGTAATAAATAATAAAACTTGACATCAAATACAATCCTTTAATACCCAACCGTTTCGTCAAAAAAGTTGCGTGTGGGCATATAAAAATGACACTATTTCAGAAGATCTATTTGAATGTCAAATCATTAGCTGTGTCGTAAATTTTCTAAAAATGAATCCTTAAATGAAATCATTATCCCTTTATAATTATCTTTATAAATCTAACTTTCATGTCAATGAAAGCTGTATCCTTGCACAATTTAATGGCCTATTGCCTAACAGAATAATAATGGATAGATCTTGGTAAAACAAGATCAAATTTCCCTTGTTTAATGGCTTCACGGAAATTTGTTTATGTTTTATGTTCCATTATAAAAGATGTAAGATTGGAGAATCTAATTCTAGCTAATAATGTTATTATTATGCAATAAAACTAAAGTAAGCTTTAAGGCAAATTACTCAATTTCAATGCTTATTTCAAGTCAACTGAGTCTACTCTTTTGGGAGAATTCTTTTTGTAGTTCATAAGGCACAAAAATACAAGATAATTGCCTTGTCTTCAGGGCATGCAGAAAACGTACAAGCAATTTCAAATTCTTCTCATATCTTCTGCTACAAATTCAAACAAAATGCACATTCTTTTGACTGGAAAAAAGATATAATAGAAAATAACAGAATCAATTTTGTGGAAATTCAGTTTAAATTGTAAATTATACGTTTTTTCTCAATCAAAGAAGCAGCTACAGATAATTACTTCATTACAAATCATCCTTTAAATTCAATTCCATATTGCTCACAAGAATCTGCACAGGTTAAGACTTGCATGTCCAGTTATGACAAAAAAAGCAATTCAAACATGACTTCGTCACTACACTGTAAGAATGACAAGAAAATAGAAATAGTCAAGCTGCTTGCTTTATTGTGGTCTTAAAAATTAAAAGAAGGGAATCTCTGTTACTGAAATTATCTTTGTGGATGGTCCCTAAAAGCAGAGCATTAATAATGAAATTCATTAATAAGACCTGCCATACTGCCATATTTGAAAAGAGTTCATTATTGTTCATGGTTAATAATGCCTTCATCTCTAACTACAATGGCAAAAGATATTCTGTTAAAATATTCCAGTAAATTGCTGAATAAAAGTAAGATATATGTAAATAAATGTCTATGTTTGTATTTTAATAATGGAATAGTTTCCCTCTACCTGTTGTTCCTTTACAAAGACAGGAATATTCTTAGACAATGGATACAGGATGACACAATCGTCTATTTCATACATGTTTTTATGTCCACAGCTTTAAATAACTATTCCAAGCAAAAAATCATCATGAAGTGTGTACTTTGACACAAGTTTTTGATGTGTCAGAATTTAGTATGATTTTGTACCACATGTCAGAGCATTATATGATATTGTACAACATGTCAGAACATTGCATGAAATTATACAACTTGCAGAACATTGTATGATATTGTACAAAATGTCAGAACATTGCATTACAACATGTCAGAACATTGCATTACAACATGTCAGAACATTGTTTGTTATTTTACAATATGTCAGAATATTGTATGATATTGTACAAAATGTCGGAACATTGTATGATATTGTACAAAATGTCAGAACATGATATATGATATTGTACAACATGTCAGAACATGATATGATGTATGATATTGTATAGCATCTGATATTGTGAAGTGTCCTCTAAAAAAATATCATATGAGAATGTACACAATTAAATAAAATTGTACATGTACAACATTACTTTATGTACAATAAATTTAAATCTAAGATCAATGTCCTAATACCTTGTATCAGACTAATACAACAAAACATTGATTTATATTGAAATTTATTCTGAACATCTACAGAACAAGCAGTAAAAGTATTGAAATTTAGCTAATAAATCTTAATTCTGAGATAAATTCCAGTCAATTTCCAGGAATTAGATCTATAAATTCTGGAATCTTGTTATGTTTGGTGAAATGCAGCCAATATGAAAAGTTTTAAAGCTGTTTGTTTCCAGACAGAAAGTTTGGTATTGATTCCTGAAGGCAGTAAGCAATAAAAATGCCAATGGCGCTATGTCTGTATTGGTTCGAGCAATATTTTTTATTGTGGAATTTTTGTTTAATTCAAGGTATGTTGTGAAGAAGTCAGGTTCCAATCATATTTGTATTTTCATTCAACACATGATACTTGGTGCTGATGCCAGTATAACAGGATTTAATAGAAATCTTTGGCTCCTGATCATGATGTCACTTAAAACCCATGAATTTGGCTAGAATTTAGTTGAGATTTACACAAATCAAGGACGTCTCATGGGAAATCAAACTGTTGCATTTCGAAGCTACCAGTCTCCCTGATACACACATAACAGACATAGACATATTTCTCTAATATTAGGTGTTTTCCTTAAATCCACACCATCCAAAAGACATGGGATCTTATAAAAGATTTTAAATAACCTTTTCAAATACTTTCGGCGTTTAAAAATTAACAGTGGGACTTTTTTACGTTAAAATTTTCAGAAAAATCCAAGGACCCATTTCTTTAAATTTTGGTATATAGTTTTCATAAATTTGAGCAAAAAAACAGAAGGTTTCTGTAAGTCTTTGTGCTTTGGGGGATATAAGTTGACTTCTGCCTGTGATTATCCTTCTGTGCACCAAGATAATAATTGGCTTAAAATCTATACACTGTCTATATGATCAGATTTATTCAGATACTATCATAACATCAGATGACTGTCATGGCCGACAATTAATCTGAATTATATTCTCTCTAGACAAAATTTATGGTTCCCTTGTCAATTCTAATGTCATTCCATCATTCACCTTTATACTAACTATTCCAATAACTGCTTAACTCTCAAGAGTTTGCTTGGTGAATCTGTAGCTTGTTGAAACCTTAGGTTTGCAAAGAGGTTGAGAGGGAAGGTCCATCTTTTAATGTTAATTCCTATCATTCGGCACCTTGTTCCAATTCAATTTTTTTAATGTATAAACAGTCCCAGAAGTCATTCCATAATCTCTTCGGCTCTTTTTTCTGAGGTTCACTTAATTAAACACCTGATGCCACTAATGCCCTGATGTTACTAATAACAAAGCACCCATTTCCGCGAGAGTTCACATGACTCATTAGGAACACAAACTGAAAAATATCAGATGTGTGTGAAACAAAGAACTTTTGTTTCTGTTTTAATATATTTCTGTATTGCTCTGCAATTGAGCACTTATTTAACAGTGAAATTCGAATAATTTCAACTCATTAAATGAAAAACAAGGCAAGATACATTTGACTAAAGAAGTTTAAGAAGACTTTCATTTTCATCTCAATACAGATGCTGTACAATATCAACTTCAAAGATTACTCCGTACTAAACAATCATTACTGTTCATAGGTATCAAATATAACAGATTACGTTTACTTTGAAAAAATTTACTCATTCCAATCAAGACAAATATGCCTCTTTAGACAAATCTACAAAATATGATACCCAAAACAACAAATAATTGCACAGTGTACCCAAAACAATGAATAATTGCACAGTGTACCCAAAACAATATGTATACACATCAGAAACTTCCCAGATGAGATGTAAAGCTGTTAAACTTCAAAGAAGACTATCAATTTAATATCAATACAAGGCTTAAGAGAATCAACAATAAAATTTGACCGTAATTCCTGTTTATAATTAGAGCTTTACAGAAATACACTGACGGCTTAGATTGAAATCCCCATGCAAACAATTGGTTGGTGGTCGAAACAATGGCAACCTGGTGATCACAATACAGTATGACAGATCACTTCTAGTAAACATTGAAATAGAAACATGTCTTCTGCTCCTTGACATACAATTTGATGCAGACGTGTGAGACATTTGGTATCCAATACTTTGAATTCTTGTCCATAAACATAATGGGAGATGATACACATTGTCCAAGAGTACATTTTGACGACTATGTTTTGAGTATTTCTTTTTGCAAATATATTTATTTATTCATCCATGCATGTTTATTCATCCATATATATATCTATTTATCCATCTAAATAAACCTAATATCTATCCAGCCATCAATATCTATCTATGTTTCAATTTACCTATCCATCTATAATCCATACCTTTTTACCATTTTATTTTTTTTCATCAAAGAAGCAGGTAATGGTTCACATTTCAGCCTGCTCATGCAGCCAACAAAAGACAATTTTTATTTAGCTGATATTTCTAATTAGTTAAATTATTAAGCTAATTTTAATCAATCAGTAATGAGATGGAATTTAAAAAACTGGTGAATAAACATGCATTTCGCTAATTATAAAGTCATATTGACATTTTAAAAGTACAGAAAGTTAAAATAAGCATATTTTTTAGCCTGAAATATTGCCATTTTTACAGTAGCCAGCATGTTGCGGTTTGAAAAAGAGTTTTGGATGTTTACAAAGAAATTATAGGGTAATATCAAATTTTGTATGGCTTGTGTAAATTTTTAGATTTTGTATAATACAAGCTAACTTTGTATGGCTTGTGCAAATTTTTAGATTTTGTATAATGCAAGCTAATTTTGTATGGCTTGTGTAAATTTTTAGATTTTGTATAATACAAGCTAATTTTGTATGGCTTGTGCAAATTTTTAGATTTTGTATAATACAAGCTAACTTTGTATGGCTTGTGCAAATTTTTAGATTTTGTATAATACAAGCTAATTTTGTATGGCTTGTGCAAATTTTTAGATTTTGTATAATACAAGCTAATTTTGTATGGCTTGTGCAAATTATTAGATGTGCAAATTTTTAAATTTTGTATAATACAAGCAAATTTTGTATGGTTTGTGCAAAATTCAAATTTTGTATCTTTAAGTGTTTAACCTGGAGTAAATATCTAGATCACTAGTGGATGTTAATAAGCTGTATAAATCACGGCCATCAAATGAGTCAATATCGGGTTTATAAACTGTAATCAGATTAAAATAAATACTGTCATACAAAGTCAGATTTTTTATTCAGAAACTGTTCATGTTTCCAGCTGATACAGTGTATTATCATTATTATTTCTAATACTTGGTACAAAATATCACAATTTTTTTGGGGTGATTATGAATCATTTTAAGTCAAATCTGTTACTCTGAACAATATAGAGTCCAAAGGCTGTTCAAGTGAAATCCCTTGAAATTCTGAAATGTATGTGATAACATCAAGGTTCTGTCAAAATTTTGCTTTTGACACACTAAATGTGCCAATCTCTACTAGTCCAATCAGGTGCAGATAAGAAGGATATGAAACTACATTCATATCATATCTAAACATTTCAGACAAATATGCTCAGAGACTACATTTACAAAACTGGTATATATCCTTGTAAAGCCCAATTTTGTGATTTGAATCCATATCATATATAGGGATGTGTCACACAAAAATAAGAAGCAATATTTGAATGCACTTTGGTTGCATTAGATTACCAAATTTATTCAACAAACTGAGAATAAATACAGTTGACTCAAGGTCATAGGCAAACAGTTTTACCTTCCTTTGTCATTCTTAGGAAGGAAATCTTCCTTTCTGTTTGACATTGTATGACTTTTTTTTGACATCCTTTATGATGATACAGTGATTTACTAATATAAGTTTTCTCAGAAAAAATGACAAAGGAATTTTTTTTTTATTTCAAGAAAATTTGAAACACAGTAATAGGTTGTCAGGTTCTTAAATATATTAGATTAAAGGTTTGAGTTCTGAGTCCAAAAATTTGAGTGAATTTGAGCTCCTCTATAATAATTACTATGGCTGTAAACCCTAGCGCCTGTGCTTGTGCTTACGTAACATTACTTAACGGCAATGTTACAACCTAGAATTCCTAGTTAGACAGGGATTTCATACCACTCTGCCACTGGGCTTGTCAATTCAACACTTCTTTCAGAGAATTCGCAGAATAAGCTGTTTTTTGGGGTTTTTGTTTTACCGATCATATGAATACTTTAGGAGATTCAACTCTGGTAGCTCCAGAATTTTACAAATGTCAGCATTAAAGCCACAATAAAAGAATATCAATAATATGAAATTGATTTGAAACATCAGTGTAATATTTTTAAAAAAAATCCATATTCCAAGAGATTTAAATCAAAACCTTCCCTGATCACTTTTCATTTTTTCTTTAAAACAATCAAGAGTAATCAAATTATTGAAATAGGATGACCAAGATCACTTTCCAATTTCTTTCCTAAAATAAATAATGTGCTACAATATAATAAAATTAATCTAGTAAATAGGTTGTCACATTTATCACTTCTGTAAGCCAAAAATAATATTATCCTATCATATTTAAACTATCATTCATCAATTGGTAGTTGCAAAGAAAATAAATAACTGGTATTTGTATCAATAATATCATTGAAAACAATGGAATGGAATTCAATTTTAAAATAACTTTTTACATTGAATTTAAAATCAGATGCCTTGTTTCCCTGTTTTTGTTGCAGCTTCGAAAACTTCATTAAAGAGACAATTTCACCATTTTTTGTGTCTTGAATATACTTAAATCAAATATTCAGAAGTTCAAAATGTACCAACTATAAACACTATTACTGATTATCTAAAAAAAAATTCCATTTCTGAAACTAAGGTACGATTGGTTAAAATATGGCGAACATGTCCATTTTAAATTCTAATAGCTGTCATTAGAAATAATCAAAACCCTGTTAGTCATAATTGCTCATCTGACAGTGACTATAATTTTAACTTCACTGTGCATTTTTGTAACAGATTCAAACTTCAGATTTGATTCTGAAATGCTTAATTCAGCTTTTCAAATGGTGTAAAACTCATATTTATGAGATTATAGCACACAGTTCCTTGGTTTATTGTCCCATCTGTAACAAGCTCAGTAATAGATTGTCAAAGGTTATCGGGAAGGGTGAGCATGACCTGGACACACCTTAAAAATTATATTCAATCAAGTCTACTTCAACATTACAAAAATATATTTTTTAGGACAATACCAATTAATACACATTTTTCAAATTAGTTTCATATCTGTTCATGACATTATAGAAACATCAAACACAATTTTTACCTATTTATTGATCAATCATCATGATTACAAGGAATATGAACCACAAATTAGTCATTTGATACATTACATATCCTAAACAAAAAGGTCAAGTTATATTTGCTCAGGGAAAAATCAATAATTCCAAGTAGAAAATCGTGTCACTGAATTTTGACAAGTTTGATGAAATCATGTCATTTAAAACTGGACAAGTTTGGTGAGTAAATCACAGAGTAAACATGTAAGATATAAAGGATTATTCAATCTAGAAATCTAATTAACAGTTTTTCAGGCGAGGCCAAACACGTTCCCATTACCATTCAAGTCAGAAAAAACTAATATTTAGTCAAGGGCAGTAACTCCATCATTCATCAAACATTTCAAGTGAACTATTCATGTTCTGACTTTTCAGACAACATACAAGAACTCCATTTAACATTATCTATGATGGACACTTCAAACAGTTTAATTCATCCAAGAGCTTAATGTAGGCATGTGGCTTATCCAAGAGCTTCATGAAGGCATGCAACTTATCCAAATGCTTCATGAATCCAAGCAAGTCATCCAAGAGCTTTATGTAGGTAAGTTAGTCATCCAAGAGCTTTATGTAGGCAAGTTAGTCATCCACGAGCTTTATGTAGACACTAAACTGATCCGAGAGCTTCTGAAAGGCATGCACCTCATCCAAGAGCTAAATGAAGACATTAAATAATTCAAGAGCTTCATTTAAGCATCCAAATCAAGAGCTTCATTTAGGCAGACCATTTCAAGGGCTTCAGGTAGACACAACTGATCCAAGACAAGAGCTTCATGAAGGCATGCAACTCATATAAGATCATCATGAAGGCATGTAAGTCATTCAAGAACTTTATGTAGGCATATAATTCATCCAAGAGCAAGATGAAGACATTAAACTCATATAAGAGCATCATGTAGGCATTTACCTCATATCAGAGCATCCAACTATGTCTTATAGACATTGTATTCATCAAAACTCAAAGAGCTTCATGCATATATATAACTCTTCTGAGAACTGTATGTAGACATAAAACTTATCTGAGATCTCAATAACTCTAATGAGTTTTAATTAGTAAACCATCTTGTTACATCAACACTTAATTTATACTTAAAAACTTCAAAACAACATGTATATTAATTTAAATTCTGGTTGAAAGCCCAGCATGGGTCAAGGTAATACATTCAGATTTTTCAATCCAATTTTACCTCTCAGTGATGCAGGCTTGAGGGTTTGAAAAGGTGTTTTGTCCTTCAGATTGAGATAAAGGACCCATGTGCTACAGGCCGTGTTATTCAAAGATTCTCAAAATAGGTTTTCTGATATATGTGAAATACAATGAAACTTTATTATTTCATTCTTGTGTATTTTTTGGATATGGCAGTCCACAACTTCCTAAGCTTGTGAAAAACGAATATGTGACACAATAAGTATTCATATTCCCACAAACAAACCTCTGATGAAAATCCATGAAATGTTTTGTCCACTAAAGTTAATTTCACAGTATTTCATGGTATGACTGTTTATTTGGAACCTTTTGCTACTCCTGCCTACAATTTCTACAACTAGACATTTTCATTTAAGCAATTCATGAAACTTCCATAAGTTGACTCTGATTGACAGTTGGCAAAATTGTGCAACCTGAAAATTAAATTTCAAAGCATCACAGGATTTACCTATAATAAAAGTTTGAATCCCACCCTTAAATCATGCAATATAAAAGTTTGAATCCCACCCTTAAATCATGCAATTTTTGAAGTAAAAAAATTCAAATTGGAGCGAACATGCAATGGATTACCTCAGTTGAATATCTTAATGCTAATAAATGATTCAAATAGTTTTAATTATAGCTCTAGTCTGTCTGCAAAGCTGATGGAACCTATAAGAAGTATGAATTATTCACTCAAGGTTAATACCAACTTAGAGCATTTTTATTTAACTCTTTTTTTTCTGTTTTTTAAGTAGCAAAAGGTATATAACTTCCTGTTTGAATAAAGCATTTCAATTAATATACTAAATAAATATTATTTGCTATATTGACTATACAAAAAGAATGCAGAGTTCTCGAAATCAATTGTTTTAAATTCAAAGTACAATGCCTGCCTGATACAGGCTTTTAATTGATGGATATACCGAAAAAATATTTTTTTTGCTATATATGGACGCCTTGCAAGAGCTGTTTCAAAAATACATCAGGTGTTCAGAAGGCTGTAAATAACCTGACTCCCTATAGCAATATAGTACCAATCAATTAGTAATAGTAATAGTGAATGTTGCTATCTAGTACAGTACACTACACATTACTCTTTCTGTGAACACTTTGTTTTAACCATTAGATCTGGTAAACTCCAAGACACCGGTTTTCTCACCTCTGGGGATGTTTTTAATGGAGCCTGTTTCATGACTGACAAATCACAATATCAAATATTGAAGAACTTGATTTAATTCTACCTCTGGGCATGCATGAAAGGCATCTGCAATTTCAAAACATTTGAAATGTTTATGAGAAGGCAACAACCTTTATACTTATCATGTTACGTCTGCTCATACATCAAAATAAATCTTTCACTTTTGGTAGTATAAGCATTGAAAATCACCATTAAGTTGGTTCTGGTTCTGTTTTTGCTGACAATGAAAATGAAAAACTAGGCAAGATTTTGAAGAACATCTTTATTGAGCTGAAGGACTATAGCCTAATGTCAATTTGGACTG